ACAACACACACACACACACACACACACACACACACACACACACACACACACACACACACACACACACACACACACACACACACACAGTGCCAGGGCTGGTCTAGGCGTGGGCCCTTTCAGACATAAATTGCTTTATTTTAATAGTTTCTTTAGAGAAAGAAGGAAAGAGAGAAAATGGTAAAGTACTATAAAGGCTATGTAGAGAAAATTGGATTCAACAAANGGCTGTACTGCGACACACACACACACACACACACACACACACACACACACACACACACACACACACACACACACATCCAGAGACAGGCACATATGGCACTGTGCCATATGTGCCTGTCTCTGGATGTGTGTGTGTGTGTGTGTGTGTGTGTGTGTGTGTGTGTGTGTGTGTGTGTGTGTGTGTGTGTCGCAGTACAGCCTTTGTCTGCTTCAGGCTGTATACACAGACTGGAACCATTACTATCAACTACAATTAGGTATAACCCACCACAACATACCACATAACAACTACTGCTACTAGCTACAATTAGACCCTATACACCACAATGGCCTCAACACCACAGAGAGGATAAATGTGACAGTTAATCATTTCCATCAAGTACAATTAGTCCCGATGCAAGTGAGGCTTTTATCTGAAATTGCCAATAATCACCTCAAGACATCCACTGAAGGAGTAACTGAGGGGAGTGGGGTGTTTCTGTCAGTCAGATATCTGAACAAGGTATAAGGGAACCATTTTGGAGTGTCATCTGTTAAAAGGTTATTTATTGCCGTTTGGTAAATTAGTTGCACTGCAATTAATCCCTCCAACAAGATACGAAAACAACCAAAACTAAAATAAAAACCTCACAGATTTCCATAACTTTTACAAAATAAGGGAAAAATGTATAATATTAAAAAGCTGTAACAAAAATGTTTTGGACATAATTGTATGATACATCAATCCAACGAATAGGATACAAAGTGGGCTTTAATTCTCTATCCAATGAGTAATCACCATAAAGGAAAATTGATGGTAAACATCTACCATCATTTGCCATGCAATAAAAAAGGGTCTTTGTGTTTCATGTAACATTGGAGTTGTGTGAATGTTATGCAACGCTGATACAACCACATCATGCGTTCAGGATTATCACATAGCAGCAGAAGAACACTAACATTAATGTAACTCATGAGAAATCAAAGAAAGCCTTTTTCATTCAGAGCCAAAGTTAGATCTCACTAATGGAAGAAATAGATTACCCGTACATTTCAACTGTCATCATCCAGTGACTCCAAGCTGATTCTCTAAATGCATATTATGAGTCAGTGTAATGGATGGGTTTGATACCCTATCTTTACACAGTCACATATTTCTGCTGCCTTCAGATAGCTCTGGTCTTCCCTTTCCCGTGGGACAGCTATAGTTGGCATCTCCATCTTTCATAAACAAAGGATTAATGTGCAACATATGAAGAAATAACGCTGAAGGCAAGGTCTCGTTACACAGAGAGATCTCTCTCAAGCTTTTCTTTCTTTTTCTCAATCTGCGTCATTCTGTCTCTTCTTATTATTGTCTCAAATCTTTGTGTCTACATTTCCTGTGTCCTTACTTGTTCTTGTGCTGCCATCTCTGTCCATGTGATTCAATGGTAGTTGATTTAAAAGGTAGATACACTGAGGAGATTGTATGTTTACCAGAGGATAGAAGGGAAAAGGGAGGAAGAAGGTAAGGATTTTTAATCAAAATGAAAAGCAAAGATGGTAAAGGGAAGGAGGACACGAGCTTCAAGAGGAGGAGACAGTAAAGAGAATATTCTTTCTTCATTTAAAAAGAAAAAAAGATAGATTGTCTGGGGAAATGGGTAGATAGAAATTGGAACAAAGGATAGAAAAAAGGCAGGAAGCAAAAAGCAGATGAACTCGACATACTAATAAGCATCCCCAAAAGGTACCGCTATTATAATATCTACTTTAAAACTTTCCCTCATCTCCAAAGTGAGTAAACGTTACAGCACAATGCTTTTGATATACAGTACATCCTATTCTCATCCTTCAAAGTTACTCCAGAAAAACACATTTGAGCACATTTTGGGAGTATTCTGTCCGTAATATCACGATGGGTTTGTGTGTCAAGTCAGCTGGTTGCATCCGAAACCCACTGTGAAGCTTCCTGGTTCAATTTAACTAATACAATATTTATTTCCAAAAGGTCATCTTTTAATTGAATTTTGTATAAGGTGATAGAAAACGGTGGTGAGTAAGAATGTGTGGACATGTGGGGGCGAGCTGTGCGGGCCAAATGGCACACTGAATAAATTACACAGATTCACTATGAGTGAGAAATAATGTCATTAGGTGGATTCATATGAGAGCAACCTGACTTAATAACATATTCCTACTTCCTCCTTACCATCGCACTAAAGATAAGGTTGGATATGTGAGCAGAAAGTTAATGATCAAAGAATATGCTCTATAAAAACTGCAAAATTAAAAGAAAATGTCCATCACAACTTAAAAATGTTTAGTTTGCTAAAACTTCAGACAATAAAATGCATACATTTCTTGCAGATTAATTTATTTTACAAATAAGTTAAATCGTCAAATAAGGAAGGACATTTCGGAATGTCAATTGTTACACAATATAATAGGTTAAGGTTTTTGTTTGCTGTCCATGCTTAAATATTGTTTTTCATCTTGAATAAATACCATACTGTAGCTGTCAAATTGCTAAATCACTTCCTGCTGGTATAAAGGGTTTCCCCTGGAGGGACCAGGCAGACACCAGCTGTTGTTGTTATTGTTGTAGCAAATATTAAAGCTTTCATGACTGTTGCATCCCTCCGCTGTCATTTATTCATCTGAAAGCGTCACAGACCTGTAGGACGGCCACTTAAGCACAAAATGGCCGTCACGCTGAAATGGCTTGTAGCTTTAGGGTACGTGTCAGTGAAAGCAGCTGAAGAACATATTAATGAAAGCTCGACATGACCGCTTTAGTCCCAACACAGACAAAGCAGATCAGGCCGTGAAACCGAGCCTATTTAGAGCGGTGGGATAATAATAGAAGTCATCCACAAGTGTTCGCCTCTATGTTATGCTTAGTTCGAGC